TGTGTGCAGTGTATAAAAATAAAATGTGAAAATGTGTAAAAAGATAAATAAAAATAAACATTAAGCCCACAAATCATCGATCGTGTAGGCAATAATTTGAAATGACTTGACAAGATATACTTATGTATGTGAAGAAAGAGTACAATAAATAAGGGGTTATTTTTTTTTTGGTGCAGGCAAAAGTGGGCGACGCCGCGAAGAATGATCTCAGAGATGAAGATGAAGTGTGCCACAAGAATGCCTTCTCCTCCTCCTCCACCGCATTCTCTCAAGTGGCCAAAGCAAACACAATGGCGAATGAGAGAGAAATCTTCGGGCCAGACGGCCAAAAAGTAAACAAGAAGAATCTGCCGCCTCAAGAGAGATCTCCTTCTTAGCCAACATCCATTACACTTGGCCATAAAGAGACCTCTCGCCTCAACAATGGCCCCGGCCTAAACCATTTCCATAAGATAATTGTTTTTTTGTGGTGTTTTCGGAATAGACTTTGGGATACACTTTCACGGGGGGTATTAGGAATCATATAGGCATAGAAACTGGAGTTGTATCTTATTGTCGAGCCACGTGTACTTCAACTTTTCTTTTTGTTGCAATATTCTCGATTTTTTTTACATTTTTTCTATAGAAATTAGTCTCTGTTTGAAAAAGATCTGCCTGAAATCTTTTGATATTACTGCCACGAGCTGAACACTATATTATATATCATCTATAGGAAAAATCGGTCAAAAAACAAGCTCTTTTTGAGGAAAATTCTCATACTTTTACACCATATTTTTTTGAATAATTTCTATCATTTCTACAATATTTCGACACTCATCTCGATTCTATCCTTATCTAGAAGTATTCCACACAAACCCCACTACCTGTAGATTCTGAAAATCGGCAACGATCCATCGTCAAAGTGTATCCAAAGCTTCGGCTCAAGGCCCATGGCCTTCCTTTCTTCCTCCTTTTTTTTGGTGTTATTTTTCTTTACTTAAATATTATTTTTGGCATGTTTTGCGGCTTTTTTTGGTTCGGTTTTTGCTTGCCTCTTTTTACTCATTTTTTTTGGGATTTTGTTTTGTTTTTTGGGCATTGTGTTTTGGTCTGTTGGCTGCAAGCATTTTGTGCCAAAAATAAATGCTGACATCATCCGCAGCGGCAGCCACAGCCGCAGCCGCCACAAACGTCGACAATGAATCGAGAGCTCACTTTTATTTATGGGTGGGGAACGAAGGCGAAGAGGGAGGAACCAAACACACACAAAATGTTGTACATTTCTCTCCCTCTCCCTCTCTCTCTCTTTGAGTGAGATAAAGCCAAAGTTCTTGGGAGATGATGCCTAATTGAAATTCTAATTGGTTTGGGGAGAAGTCGGGAGTCCACTCCATGCCATGCCATCCCATCCCATCCCATTCCTCCCTTCGAAAAATGAAAGACTATAGGAAAGGCACTGCCGGGAGGGAGAGTCCAGAGTCCTCTCCGGATTGTTGACCTTGAACTTGAGTGAGTGTGTTTTTCCCCCCTCCCTTAGATAAGCCTTGGAACTGAAAGCCAGTCAAACATCTTCTCCTTCTTGTGCATTTTTGGCATTTCTGTTGCTGGGCTTTTTTGTTTTGAGTGCATTTGCATTGCATCTTTGCGGATGACGATAATAAAGAGATGACGATAAAAGAACTGGCGGTTTTGGTTGCATTTGGGACTGTACTTCTGCTACAGGAAGGAAAGTTAAGAGGGATACTTGTGGGGACAGAATAATATCTCTTGAGGTTTCAGAAGTTTAAAGAGAGTTTAATTCAATGATCCTTCTTTGGCTGTATAAATTTTATAACAGCATTGATAAAGATCGGAGGTCTACAAAGAAATATAGTATTTAGATTCGAGTTCGAATATTTTACTTATAAAAATCTTATGTTCATCAAAATCGATGATGGGTTTTATATATAGATAGAGAAACTAATAAAAATATATACATAGATTGCATAGATTTTACAGCATCGTAATGTTCTAATTGTTCCTATACCTTCTTTAAAATAATAAACCTCTGTTTTTCTCGCTCTTTTTAAAACAAATTTAACCAAGGAGTAGAAATTCTTTGATTTAACTGAATTTATCATTAATCTTGTAAACGAAATATATAAAATTTTGTGATTGGAGAAACAAATATTCACATTAACGATCTTGAGTATCTAAGTATCGAGGCACGTGTTCATCGACTCAAAAGTTCCAACTAGTAATCCCTATGGAAAAGCTCTTAAAACAACAGGAAATTGAAAATTATGGGCTACGCCCATACTGAATGTTGTTTTTAGGGAATATTTTCTTTAGTACAGAATATTTCTACCATGTAAAATAGTATCCCAGGGTTTAAAAGATCTTTTGAAAACAAAAGTCTCATTATTTTACGATTAGTTTCAAATAAAACTTGGACTGATTTTATTTTTATGGTATTTTATTAACTTTCTGCGGCTCTGATCTATTAGAGGGGGAACTCACACTTATATCAATCAAGTTCCAAAAGAAGAACATTCAATCATTAATGATTCATTCTCTACACTATCTCCTCATTAGATAACAAATGCAAGCCAACCAAATTTGTCTACGAGTTATCTGCCTAAACAGTAACCCAACCAATGATAACCTTTTGAGTGGAATATGTTCCTCTACAGGAAATTATTCTGAACAACTCCAATTGAATACGAAGTATGCTCATATCATATCCCACTACTGTACGAGTACGTACCACTTTTCCATTTATCTTTAAACTTTTGAAGTGATTCAAAAATTGTATGTGAGTCACATGAAACGAGCAATGAATGAGGCTTTTGCCCTCTCCCGACTTTAAAATAGTTTTATGTATTTGGAGCTCCACTTACACCAAAAACAATTTAACTTCTCGCGTTTTCCTCAGAACCCCAAAGATAAATTCCTTTAGAGAAGTTTTTGACATTTATAGAAATATTTTGCGACTCACCAAACTTATGGTACTGTCTCTCTCTCTCTCTATCTGTCTCTTTGAGGCCTGAATATAATGCGCCATTTCTTAACAAAGCCTCGCCTTTGTGGGGGTCTGCGTTTTGTGGGGTGGATAGTCTTTTGGGGTCTACCCCCAAAGACCCTTTTGCCCCTTTTTTTTGCGCAGTTTGGTGGCAGAAATTGCGTTGTGGCCACCTAAAGAAATTGCTTTTTTATTGCTTATGAGGCAACAAATGCTAACGCATCATCGTACCATAATCATCATCATCATCATCATCGGGCGGGAACATGGGAACATCAGCGAATAAATGCACGAAACACGAAGGCGAGTATTACAAGAGAAGTCAAGTTTAGGAATGACATCATGCCCATTCCCAAACCCAAACCCAAACCCGATTCCGATCCAAAGTCAAATTCGCACAAAGCTTTTCAATGCGTTGAATAAAGTCGATTGAATAAAATAGTTCGTGGAGAGCAGGGGTACAACGCATAAGAGGGGCAGAGGGAACGTCCACGTCCTTCCTTCGAACAAATTGGATTTTTTTATAATTAAGCAAAAGAGGAAATAAAAAGAAGAAGACCTTAAGGGCTTTTGCGAGTCGGGTTATAAATGGCTTTGGCCCACGGAAAGGATGCATTTTGAGATTGCTTCATGAATCACCCTGACGAATGACGCAACGCGATTTGAAGGTTGAAGGCAGAACGATTAAATCATCTTGAAATAAAATGGAATCAGAAATCGCAAATCAGAGAGCCATTCATGTGGATGAATGGAGAGTTTGAGTCAGACTAAAAATTATACTAAACGATAATAATACTCAAGGACTGTGGCATCAGAAATTGTTTAAGATAGATCAGATCTACTTGATTGCAGAAACACATTGCAATCGGATCATTATTATAGCTAGAATGAACCAAAACGTGGCATTTGGATCTTTAAACAGCTGGCTTTCGTATAATTAATTAATGTAATACCTAGAGCAGCGCGTTTTTGAGGGCGGATGAATAAACAGGTCTAGTTTCGATATATTCACCAAACAAATTTGTTTCAATCAGTACAAATCTGGGGACATCATAGAGGGATATCTAATCGCATTACATCTTCCAACTTTCTTGTTCCCTAAGCTTCGATTCGACTCTACTGTAACCCTAGTACATTCCACTCCCAAAGCCTTTCAAATGAGTCTGTTTTTAAGCATTTAGGAAATTAAAAGTATGAAAATGTGAACTGGAAGCCTGTAGCGTATGTACATTTGATGAAATTATGCGAGTTATTTTTTGAGAATATTTAAATCGTGAAATTTTTGTGTGTTCCTGTTTAATTTTCCTACAATTTTGTATTTTCTTTTTTAAAGTACTAATTTTAATAAATGTTTTTAGACATGTATAATACTTAAAAAAAAAAAATAATGGTAATAATTTACTTAATTTTGTGTTATTATTTTAGTTGGTATTAAATTTTGTAAATAATTTGTTAGTTTTAATATTACTTTTTATTAATTTTTTTAAATTAATTTGTAAAAATTTTAAAGTTTATTTTGTTTTTGTAGTTTGTTTAAATTAAAACAAACAAAAAATGTATCGAATTTTTGTATTTTAATAATAATTTCATGCTGCAACATTTCACCATCGCATGTTAAATCGTAAATCATGCTTTACCATTTATAGCGTTAAAAAAATTTTTTTTTTAGTAGGCATAATTATTTGTAGAATCTTTTAACCAACTCTGATATCAATGACAAGTTCTAAGGGGGGGTTCTAAGGGTTTGTTTAGGTGTACATATGTGTGTTTACAATGGAGTTTTTAGGGTTATCGTGCAACATGTAAGTCAGCCCCAAGGCACACACAAAGACACAAAGACACAAAGCAACGTGCAACAGCCCAAGAGACAAGCAGTTAGACACATCCAAGACAGAAAGAGAGACACAGACAGATAGTAGGATATAGAAAAAGAATAAGACAGTTACGGAAACATAGAAGACACAGAAAACAGAACCCGCAACCAGAGAGTGGAGGTGGAAAAGAGTCAACCAGCACCGACCTGTTGACTCCAGTGGATTTTGTGGTATCCCCCAAGATGGAGCCGGAAACGGATGCGGATGCCGTGGCAGCTGCAGCCACAGCGGCAAAAACCGTGGCACATTCCAGCGGCGAACGGGATCGTCGCTCTGCATGGGGAACTTGCAAGCGCTGGAAGGCAGGATCATAGCTGAGGGATCTGCGCGATGGATGGGCAGAGGCGGCGGCAACAGTGGCGGCAGCAGGATGAAGGCCTGGGTGTCCGGGTGTATGGACGGGTGAGGATAGAGTTGTGTCCGGCGAGCTGGCATAGAACGGCGAGTAGGGATGGGCATAGATCAAGGGACTGGCACTGAACGCCGCCATATAGTTGACGCCCGACGAGCCGATCCTCGGCTGATGGTGCTGCGGACTGTTGCCGGCACTATTCGGTATCGGTATGGATCGGCTCGCCCTCTGACTGTATATCGTGGGCGAGAACTGATCGATGGCCTCCTCATAGTCCTCATCGGCGGCACTCGCACTGGCATTATTCGGCATCGTGTACAGATTCGTGTCGCTCGTAACCCGCGCCGCATTCGTGGGCCACAGCGACTCGTCCACACAGAACGAACTCCGACCCGAATACGATTTGTTATAGTAATACAGGTGCGGATTTAGTCGATGGCCGGAGGCGGCGGCATCGTGGGGTCCTCCTATATGGGGATTGCTAAAGGCCCTCTTCCGATTGCTGTTGGCGTTCGACGAGGCGGGTATAAAGCTGGGTTTTCGGATTTTGGCATAAAACAGTGTTGCAAAAGGCGCGCAAGAAAATCAAAAAAGTAAACAAAAATAGAAAAAAAAAACAAATTGGAAGTATAAGAAGTGGAAGAAGCCATAGAAGATTTATATTTTTTATTGATTTTGAATTTTGTTTTGCCGAATTTCAAATAAAAATATATTTTGTTGGATTTGGGGTGGGAGGGGAGGACGAGGTTGGGGTTGGGTGGCAAGCAACTGAAGTCGATTTTATGTTGCTTTATGGTTCAGTGATCAAAGTCGTGATTTGAAAGGGAACAGTGATCGAGGGGGGGAGGAGCGATCGGGCAATGAAATATCGATAGTTTTTCCAATTGTTTTTGATTTGTTAAACAATTTAGGGGAATGCAATTTTAACTGAAAAAATTTTTGAATGAAATGTATACTTGAATTCCATTTTGAATAATCAAAAATACACAAATATGACACCTGAAATATTGGATTTAAAAAGGCCAAAAATCTTTCTATGCTCATTCAATCGCAGATACAAAAAACATAATTTTGCATAATTTCTCAATCAAAAATATATGAAAATTTCCAACTCTATTTCCACTTTATTTTCCAGCAGAGAGAAAAAAAAAAAAACCGGGAAATTGAGTGGATTATGCAACATTTGCAGCAACGTGTCGATGCGCTCCAGTTCTCGTCATAAACAACCCACTGGGGGAGAGTGCAACATCAACCACTGCCGCTCTTGCCGCTGCTGCTGCTGGGGCAGATGATGGATGTGGCATGCCCCATGCAATTTATGCGTTGAAAATGAAAAAATAGCAACACAACAAAAAAAATCATAGAAAATTGTCAATTACTTTGTTGCACATTCAGTGGGTGGAGCAGAAGGCAGGCGCACTTAGAACAGCCAATTAATTTTCACGAAAAGTGCCAAGGAAGGCAAAAAAAGAAAAAAAAAAAAAAAAAAAAAAACATTTCCTCTCCGCTCCGTTTGATCTGTGACGACAACGCACGACAACTTCATTTTGGTCCACTCTTCTTCCTTATTGCCAGTGCCCCAAAAAATATTTCAACGCATAAATTAAATGCAACAAGGCATGGAGCAGGGAGTGGGGAGTGGGGGCTCTCCTTGGGGCCCACCATATTCTTCAGATTCGTTGGTGCTGCTGCTTTTTCCAGGTCTTCTTCGAGAGACACATATCCGGGTCTAAGCGACAAGAGTAATGGGGAAAATAGGAGCATAAGAAAGAGAGAGAGAGCGAGCGAGAACAAACAGGCAGGAACACAACAGGCAGGAGCGTAGCTAGGCAATGCAAGGGGGGTATTGAATTCAAAACAATTCCCCGTAAAAGGGGGAATTCCCGCTAAGAACCAAGCCCAAGCTTCTGGGAGCACAGCCGACTGGGATGTAAACACAAAAAAGGGGGAGATAAACCATGCTCACCTACGCCCCTGACAGAAGCTGCGTAGAGCCACAACGACAGACGCAAACAGCAACAACAATTGCAAGAGACTAAAACCGAAGGCAGCAACAACAACAACAACAGCAACGCGCAGAAACAGAAGCAAAGAGAATGCAAGAAATGAAGCCAGCCGCTAGTCCAAAAGGTGCCTAGGCGCAAGCAGAGGTCTCCCTCTCCCTCTCTCTCTCTCTCCACCAGCATAAAAACGAAAGTGAAACAAAAACAGCCACAATCCTCGGAGAGCTCTCTGGCAAAGGGGCTTCGGCTTGCTGTAATCAAGATCTGATTATTTATTCCTCGCAGAGCAACAACACAAAATCCAACGCTAAGAAGAGCAAATGATGAGACAACAACAACTACAAACAGAAGCTAACTCTTTGTTTGTGGAGCAAAGCAACAACAAGGGCATTCTGGGCTAGGATTGAGGCAGCAGCCGAGGCTTTAATACCCTTTTACATACCCCTTTAATGCCGTCATCACACATGCTTAAGTATTTCTTTTCCCACCAAAAATTAGCAAGAAATTTCGTTGCCAAAGTTTGCCTAAAACCATCTGCCAGGGTATCAAAAAACAGCTGCATTCCAGCCGCAAAAGCAAACAACAATAAAACCAAAGCCCAAACTGTTTTTTTCTGCCATTTCTGTATTTCCCTCTCTCTCGCACTTTGTGGATCATCCGCTAAAGCAATTTTGCCTTATTTTTTTCTTCGTTTTTTTTTTTGTTTTCCCTGCATTTTGTGTTTTTGTGGTTTTCCGTTTTGTGACTGCAGCAAAAGTTTTTCTTCTGAAAGTTTAGCATGTTCCCAATTTTTTGTATTTTAAATTTTAATTTCAAGTTGCAGGAAAGTTTTTAATGTGCCCCACAGTACCAACAAAAGGTTTGGCTTTTTTGAGAGTCAGAACTGCAAAAAGTAGAACGGAAATGGAAAAAAAAGGAAATTTGGAACTCATGGAAGTTTTGGTAACACTGGTTGGGTTATTGGAAGCATACAAAATTTTGTTTAGCACTTGGAAGAAATATTTTATTAATAAAGTATTGATTTTCCCATAAAATATACTCATCAGAATTCTCAGAACCTGGCTGTGTTTTGGAATTACTACAAAATAATACCTTGACCTTCCTTATTTCACTATTCAGAAACACTAAACAGACTTACTAAATCATCTCTACACTACTTTTTTGATTCACATCAAATATTAATCATATATTTTATAGAATTAATGATCATATCCTTAAAAGCCTTGTCATAAGCTGACAAATTTGTCACATTCCATTTTAATCACAGCTCCCGACTTCCGTCCACCATTTCCTTCCTTGACCACTCAAAAAAAGTTGGCTTTTCCCACATCCTATGCCCATTTTCCAGAGTCATCCTCTTGGGATCCCTCAAAGTACAGTGTCATCCTTTCTTTTTCTTTGGCTTCTTACATAACAACAAAAACAACAATGGCAAATTAGCATAAAATGAACAACAAAATGTGGGAAAAAACTATGAAAAACTATGGAAAATTGTGAGTCAAAGCGACAGCGGCAGCAGCAGTGTTTGCCACTGCAGTGTGCCACTGCTCTGTTGCATTGTTAAGGCAACAACAAATTAAATGCACATTACATGCAACTATTCCACTTCCCAAAGGCCCCCGTCCCCCTACTCCTCCTCCTCCTCCCATCCTTTCAACTTTTCCTCTATGTGCCATTGTGTTTTCCACTCTTTGCTGTTGTTGCTGCTGTTCAGTATGTCGTCCCAAAAACAAAAACAAAAAACAAAAAAAAAAGCCAACAAGGAAATAAAAGTTTTCAAAAAAGAAAAGCGAAAAAGTCATGAAAAGTCTCACTATTTTGGAGCAGGGAATTTTGTATACTCTTGCAGCGAATTCTGCTTAAGAATAGTGCAGAAACAACATGCATGCATGTGCATGATGCAGTAAAATTAATGCTCGGTGGAAAGACAGACATCTTTAATCGATTGAAGAATTTTCTCCACAAAAAAACAGTAAAATATTATGTGTAGAAACAATAAAGATATAATTTTCTGTTGTTTAAAATGGAATTTCCTTGAAATAACTTCCAAAGCGGCTCCTTTCCTTGAGTTTTTCCAACTCTAAAAATTCTACTGAATTTTCCTTCACTCAAAATTTGAATACCCCACCGCTTCAGTCAGGGTACACCTAAAATCAGTTGTTGTTGGATGAAAATTAGGTGAATGGAGCTGCCAGGCCAAGGAAAATCCGCAGTTGATGGAGAGAGCGGGAGCCAAAACGGGAGCCCCACACGAAAACTGCGATCGCAGATAAGACAAAAAAATAAAAAAATATACGTTGAAAAGAAATTTGCAGTCCGCTCAAAGATACAGATAGATAGAGAAAGGGAGTGGGACGCGAGGGGGGCGGTTGGGTTAACGCGGTAAATTAATCGCTTTACCGTTTTGTTTTCGCAGTTTATCGGCGAATTTTCATCGCTCAGAGACCGGCGCTGCCTTTTCGGCCACTTTTACCGCGCCAAAATCCCAAAATTTATTTGCCAATTGTTTTTCATTTATTTCTATTTACGTAATTTCGATGTTTTTCGGTTCGGGTTTCGAGGTTTCTGTGGACTCTGTGGATTTGACAGCACAATTAGCTTGAAAGGACAGCAGAAAGGATTGCATAAGAATGCCCATAAAGAGAAAGAGACAGCGACAGAGACAGCGACAGATAGATAGATAGAGAGGAAGAGAAGACAACAACAAATATCAGAGTTAAGTGTGGAAATTTGTAGGAGAATGTTTATATCCGCATGACACTGGACTTGAAATTCTAGATAAAATAATAGAAGGAAGGAATACTTCAGAGAGATCTTCTACAGTTCACGGTAAATAGGGTTTCAAAAAATCCATTAAGACCATAGATTCAAGACATTTAACTAGGTCTCAACAAAATTCAAAATCTTTTAAAAACTCATTTAAATATTATTGTTCTTATTCGGATCCCATTTTGTACTGAATGAAGGAAAAGAAACGATGGGGAGACTTTTCAATTAGTTGGAAAAATCAAATGCTGCTTTTAAATGTCAACTGAAACACTTTCTTTCGAGAATGATACTTTTATCTGTTGCTGCTGCTATTTCCGTTTATAGTCTGACTACGAAAAACTTTTAACAAGAACTAAAATCATTTCCAGAAGTGAGACAGCTGTCACCGTTCCCTAAAACTTTGTAGTATTTTAAGATTTTGATAAGATTCCTATCTCTATAAACTTCAGACCATTTCCAGTAAAAACTTAGAAGACCTGTTGTCATGCAGATATAACCAAAATAATAATTATTGAGTTTTGGTTTCTATGCTAGATTTATTTACAAGTTAGTTGGCGATTCATGGCAGAAATTATTACGATGCATGGACAGAGCAGGACAGCGATAGAGAGAGTGATAGATAGAAAATGGAAATATGTTTCTTTGATGGGGCGGTGGGGAGCAGGTTGATAGAGTACTCACGCACATAGAAAAAGTATAGGACGGGCGACATTTGATTCATTTGGCTTACCTGGAAATAAAAGAGAGGAGAAATTGATTA